AGAAACAATGCTTTTCCGCTTTTAAGCGGAAAAGCAATAAGGCGCCGATGTCCGCCTATCAAGACGCTCATGCATGGCGCACAATACATACAAAACAATTACAGTTTAGGTTTAATTAAATTTGAATTACAGAAATTAGTGACAGAAGCAATAAACATCATACGAAAAAACATTAAACACAAAAACGTGAGGTAAACATATGAGTTTTCACAGAAGATTTATATAATAATTCGAAGGCATCAGCAGGCTTTCAAAAGGCAAAATATTAAAACCAATTCACTCGCGCAATATGGCTGAGGGGCCTTCCCATTATTTTTTTTATTCATTTGAACTTCTTAGACAATGATAGAGATGTTTACATTTGAGAGGTTATAAGAAATAAAACAAAATCGAAAAGTGAAAATACAATGTAATTGAAGTGTGGCATTATATGTCCTTCGACAACTATTCACAAGAAAAGAAAAGAAAATGTAATGTTCTCTCATTTATAACAGAGGTCTTAATGGAACATTGACATTATATGAGCGCCTAGAGTATTGAAATATTTCAATATTGTCGGTTGATGTCAAGCATGGGCGTACATCCTGCAGGTGAAGGGGGAGGACGTATCGCCCACACATGACGACAAGGTGTTGGTTTTGAGGTGGTGTACGTGTTCTACATAACCCCCAAGGACCGACACACAAAGGGAGAAACACATGTCCTTTCATCAGTCCTAGATGGGCGTATATTGGGTCTTTTGTTGAAAACGGTCCTGCATGGATCGTACGGTTATGTGCTTAGTCTATGGATGAGTGTATATAAGGACAAAGGAAAACCTGTAAAACACGACTGGTGGTGAGCGTGTGGGTTTACATTTTACACATCGTGGACCTTGAACACTGGAGGACAGTAGGGTCAACGATTGACCGAAGGTCCACTTTTAATTTGCGTGTACAAAACACATGAGATGTCTTCAAAAAACAAACGGCCAGTATATGTATAGAAACATTATGGTCCAATGCATGCTGGAAACGAACGAAATCCGTCGGGAATTGGCTTACTCATAATTGAGGTTAATAATAGTAATGTGTCTGTTTTTCTTAATAGTGTTACAAAATAATGAAGTAGGAAATTGCAGCAGCAGCAGCAACAACAAAAGCAGCGGTGACAACAACAACAGCAGCAGCAGCAGCAGCAGCAGCAACAGCAGCAGCAACATTAGTAGCAACAGCAGCCAGCAGCAACAACAGCAGCAGCAGCAGCAACGGCAAAAGCAGCAGCAGCAGCAGAAGTAGCAGCATCATCATCAGCAGCAGCAGCAACAGCAGCAGCAGCAGCAGCAACAGCAGCAGCAGCAACAACAGCAGCAGCAACAACAGCAACAGCAGCAGCAACATGAGTAGGAACAGCAGCCAGCAACAGCAACGGTAGCAGCAGCAGCCTGCAGTAGCAGCAAAAACAGCAACAGCAGCAACAGCAGCAGCAGCAGCAATGGTTTCAAAATGGGAGAAGGTTTATTCAATATAAGGGAGAAGGTTCTTCTTGCAAGCCGGATTTTGGAAGATACTCTCAGATTTATAGAGGCGCTGTAAACACATATGCTACAAAATAAATACCAAACAGTAGAAGCTTATTAGCGTAAAAAGCAAGAAGGTTAGTGTTCTTTCAGCACAACGAAAGCAAATCACATAGGGAGGTGTGTGAATTGTGTTCGTTTTGCTGAAAGAACGGACACCTTTTTTGTGATCCGTGGACAGAACTTTAAAATGGTGATTGTGTTTAAAATTCCGTAACTTTAAAAGTACCTGATTGATTTGAATGATTCTTATACCAAAAGAAAGCTTATGAATTTGGCTATATCCTGATTTACAGAGTGCTACATGCAGAACTTCACTAAAATAATAGTCCCGACATTTGGATTTCGCTTTTTTTGACTCACCCTGTATACTCAGTGTGTTACCTGCCGAATTAAGTTTTTTTGGGGAAAAAACGCTCGGTGGGACTCGAACCCAAGACCTCCTGCTTTCTGTTGCGGACTTTTAAAATTAAGAGAAAAGAAGACGGTCAAAGTTTTTATTGCCATGTAATTTAAATATAAATTCGGTTCGAGTTGTGATTCGATCATGGAACAAATCCAGCAGAAAGTAAACTAGCATGACCGAATACATGTTTTATTTATGGGCATTTTTATTTCACAAATACAAAGGTAACCGCGAAGCGGAAACAGCGTTTGAATTAAATATGTACACTATTGGTATATCCCTCAATGAGAGCAAGCCGCTGCTTTTCAGCTCCTCTTTACGGCAACTCGGCAATATTCACACCGAACCATGATTAATTTTGGGGTTATTTTTCGTGTTTATTAGGATTCTTGCATTCTTTTCCGCAAGAAATGGCCCTCCATTACATATGTTGACAATCGAAAGTTTGTAAGCAGAATATTCTGATAAACCTGCACATCCAGAGCAATACGGCAAGGCAATGATAAAAACCTGTACAAACGTTATCACACATAAACGTATACATGTACAGTGTATATACATTTTTTTTTTCAATATCGAGCAAAGTAAATATAATTGCAATGAAATATTACATTGCCGTAACAAAACTAACCAATCAGAAGTGAATTTCCGTCTTCATAGTTGTTAGATATTGGTTTAATAGTTACTGCGCATGCTCATTAGAGTAGTGTTTACTTGTACGTAAGTAGTGTATACAGCACATGTACGTTAAAACAAGAGTTCGTCTCAAGCACTGTTAAAAGCTTAGATGTTTGTGCCTTGAAGCTCCGTAAACGATCATGAATAAATGCCATAAATGGATGCCGAGACATAACAATTGGCGACGAGGATAACATTAAAACCGTATAGCACCTGTATAGCAACAGTATTACTGAGAATTTGTTTAATAATACAGTGATTCATGTGATACCTGAATAATGGCAAATGCTAATGTAGGTATTATTGGGACTGTCCCCACACTGGACATAAATGCTTGTAAATTTGAAGAATGGGTTGAAGTACTTGAAGCTTGGTTTGAAGCAAATTCTATCACAGCAGATACCAGGAAACGTGCAGTGTTACTCACTAGTTTAGGAACCAAAGGTTACCACACTCTAAGAGCCCTGTTACAGCCTAGCAAGCCAGCAGATAAGCCATATGCAAATTGTATTTCAGTTTTGCAGAAGCATTATTCACCGAAACCTAGTGAAATAGTTCTCAGGTACCGTTTTTATACTCGATCTCAGAAGGAAGGTGAAAGTATTGCACAATTTGTTGCAGGGTTACGCCAACTTAGTGATGGTTGTAATTTTAAAGAGCTAGATAACATGTTAAGAGACCGTTTGGTCGTAGGTTGTAAGGAAGCAAGCATACAGCGTAAATTGCTAAGTGAAACAAAGCTCACATTCGAGAAAAGCCTGAATATTGCCTCAGCCATGGAAATGGCAAGACGAGATGTAGAAGATATCAAGAAAATGGCTCAGTCTAATATCGAAACAGCCAAAGTAAATAAGATGCAGCCATACAAAAAGCCCCCACAAAAGCCAAGTGTCCCCAGACAGCCCAGACAGCCCCGATCAAGTGATCGAAGAACCAAGAGCAACGCAGCCCCAGAGTAATGGTTCGTTCCAGAGCCGTGAACACAGATGTTGGCGCTGTGGTGGACGCCATTTTGCCAACACCTGCTCTTTCATCAAGGAGAAATGCCACAAATGTCAGCAAATCGGTCATACTAAGGGCCAGTGTGATAAAGTAAAGGAGTATCGTTCGAAAATGACCAATAAGAAGCCCTACGAGCAAAGAGCTCATCATCTTCTTGATGTGACTGATGACGAACCACCTCAAGATATCACAGATGACTTTACAATGTTAAGCCATTTGGAGCCAGAAGCAAGCTCTGTCAACAAGCTGTCAGTTAAGCCATACCATATAGAGCTAGAGATCAACAACAACAGCATAACTATGGAACTGGACACAGGAAGTCCGTGGACCATTGTTTCGTCTGAGACGTATAAGAAAGTTGGAAAGCCAGGTACCATCCGCCCAAGTAAAGTCAGCCTCAAGACGTATACAGGAGCTAAAGTCAAACTACTTGGAGAAGCAAAAGTCACTGTCAGATATGCTTCGTCTAATCCTAAAGTCCTACCATTGCTAGTGGTGGAAGAAAGAGTAAGTTTGATTGGGAGAGAGTGGATACAGTAAATTCCGCTGCCATTAGCCGAGGTATTGTCACGCCACGCTGTAAAAGAAAGCACTGAGGGTGCAGCAACTACTAACAAACTGGTGACAGCCAACTTGAAGGAAATGCTAAAATCCCATGAGCAAGTATTTGATGAAAGCAGCCTGGGACATCTGCAAGGTTTCAAAGCCAAACTGTACCCTGTGGATGATGCCCCTAAATTCTACAAGGCCGCTCCAGTTGCCTATGCTGCTAGACAGAAAATCGACAAGAGTCTCGATGAAATGTTGGAGCAAGGAGTGATTGAATCCGTGAAGTTTGCAGATTATGCATGCCCAATTGTGGTTGCCCCAAAGCCTAACGGACAGATTTGCATCTGTGGGAACTACAAGCTGACAGCAAATAAGGTGCTACGCTTGGAACAGTACCCGCTTCCGACATTGGAGGATATGATGCAAGACCTCCAAGGTGGCAAGAGATTCTCAAAAATTGACCTGTCACACGCCTATCATCAAATCGAGCTTGATGAAGATGCCCGCAAATACACGACTATCAATACGCATCGTGGACTGTACCAGTACACCAGAGTTCCTTTTGGACTGGCCTCAGCCCCAGCATTGTTCCAGAGGACAATAGAGTCCTTGATAGCCGACATACTCATGTGCCGCCCATATTTAGATGATATTATCATCACAGGTAGAAATGATGCCGATCATCTTGCAAATCTTGAAGCTGTACTCCAGCGATTGGAAAAACATGGGATGAAAATCAAGAAGGAGAAGTGTGAATTCCTACGAGAATTGGTGACGTATCTAGGCCATTCCATTGATGCTGAATGAATGAGACCGTTGGAGGACAAGGTACAAGCCATTCGCTTAGCAACCGTGCCCAAGAACCAGGAGGAGCTGAAAGCGTACTTGGGTCTCCTGGGTTATTATCGCAAGTTTCTGCCAAACTTGTCGACACAGATTGCACCACTGACCATGCTACTGAAAGACGAGTACAGAAGTGGAACGAAGTGTAAAGCAAGCCAGAAGACTTCGACCAGCCCAAACTTCAAATGGGGTCCAGCACAGCAACAAGCTTTCGATACTTCCAAAAAGTTGTTGGAGACTGATGCGCTGCTAGTTCACTTTGACCCCCGCAAGCCAGTGTTGCTTCAGACGGACGCTAGCCTTTATGGGTTAGGCGCCGTTATCAGCCACGAAATGCCTGACGGAACAGAAAAGCCTATAGCTTTTGACTCCAGAACATTGACGCCTTGTGAACGAAACTATGCCCAATATGAGAAGGAAGGTCTTTCGATTGTCTTTGGACTGAAAAGGTTCCATAAGTACTTACATGGCAACCGTTTCTGCATCGTTACAGACCATAAGCCATTGGTATCGCTTTTTGGAGACAAGCCAGCCAGCCCTATGTCTTCAGCCAGAGTAGCAAGATGGCACATGTTACTCTCAGCATATGAGTACACGATCATCCACAAAGCAGGCCGGCTTCGTACAAACGCAGATGCGTTATCACGACTGCCTGTAGAGAGCACCGTGGAAGAGAAAATCCACTGGATGCATGACATATTGGAGGATGAATCAGCTGTGAAGTCACGCATCAAAGACCCGCTTCTCTCCAAAGTACGTAGCTACATCCTGCAAGGATGGCCAGAAAGACACATCAAGGGAGAGATGTCCTCGTACACCACCAAACGGTTGGAGCTCAGCTTAGAAGATGGTGTTGTGCTGTGGGGTTCAAGGGTGGTGATCCCACAAGATTCCCAGCTACGTAAGCGCCTGATGCAAGAATTGCATGCTACTCACCCAGGGATCGTGAAAATGAAGATGCTGTCACGATCATACTTCTGGTGGCCAGGAGTTGACAAGGAGTTGGAAACACTCGTCAAAGAATGCAAAGTCTGCCAGGAAAACCAGAAGATGCCCCAACAGAGCCCGATACACCCATGGGAATTTCCAGAGCGTCCATGGCAACGCTTGCACATAGATTATGCCTTAGTTGAAGGTCGAGAAGTGCTTATTGTGGTCGACGCACACAGTAAGTGGATCGAGGCAGTGCCAGTCAACTCTGCTTCATCAGCGTCTACCATCAAGGTGATGCGGAGAATGTTTGCATCGCATGGAATCCCAGATGTCATTGCAAGCGACAATGACACACCATTCGTGTCAGAGGAGTTCTTTACCTTTCTCACCAACAACGGAGTTGAACACATACAAACTGCTCCAAAGCACCCATCCAGCAATGGTCTGGCCGAAAGAGCTGTTCAGACAGTTAAGAATGGCATGAAAAAGATGAAAGGAGGTGACCTTGAGATGAGACTGCAGAAGTTTCAGTATCGAGTTACTCCACAAGCAAGTACAGGAAAAAGTCCAAGTGAGCTCCTGTACAGACGTCAAATACGTACCAAACTAGACAAGCTTCGCCCAGATCTTGCCAAGAAGCTGAAACGACAGCAGAAGCAGATGAAAGACCAGGCGGACAGAGGATCCAGACCTAGATGTCTTCAAACAGGAGATCACGTCTTAGTGAATAATTTGGCAGCAGGTCCAACATGGCTCCGTGGTTCTGTTCAAAGTGATATAAGCCCTAGTCTCTATGAGATACACCTGACAGATGGTCGAGCAGTTAGACGCCACATTGACCACATGAGAAAAGTTGAACACCTACCTGCACCGGAAAACAAACATGATGTCATCATCCCGGTCAGCATAGATGAAAACCAACCCGCACCACTACCTATCAACACAGATACAATTCCAAGCCAGATATCTGAACAACCAGAGGATTCTAATCCCACTCCTGAGCCGAATCAGTCTCCGCCAATGAGAGTGTCTACCAGAGTTACACGCCCCCCCCCCCCAGATTATCTCAAAGATTACGTAACTTACAAATATATTAAAAGGGTGCAAAAATAACCAGTCAATCACACTTCACCATAAAAGTTTTTGGTGTTATTTTACCAAAATAACAGGTTGACTACTTTCGTGTTACAAAGCATTTAAAGTAAATTACATGTGCACAACAAACATTTTGGTAATTAGTACAACAGTTTTGAAGTTGAACCAAATTTCATTGGTGTTTTAAAGTTTATTGTTGTTTAAAAAAAAATATTAAAAAATGTCCTTGCTTTGTTTTAAAAGTGGAGGAATGTTAGATATTGGTTTAATAGTTACTGCGCATGCTCATTAGAGTAGTGTTTACTTGTACGTAAGTAGTGTATACAGCACTTGTACGTTAAACAAGAGTTCGTCTCAAGCACTATTAAAAGCTTAGATGTTTGTGCCTTGAAGCTCCGTAAACGATCATGAATAAATGCCATAAATGGATGCCGAGACATAACATCTAGTTTGCGTTCACCGAGTAGTTGACGCATGCGACGCAAGAACTGCGAGGGTTTCTTGTCACCTAACTGCTTTTCGGTGAGTAGCATCTGCAGCCGTTTTTGCTCAGAAGCTGATGTACGTTTAATCATTTCTTCCTTTAGCTTCTGATACGGGTTGTTCTTGGGAGGAGTGATCACCAAATCACGGACTTCTTGAATAATCTCAGGTTGTACCGCAGCCAAAATGTGGGCAAATTTGGTGTCTTCACGCTTGATTCCCCGGGTATGGAATTGTGCTTCCGCTTGCGCAAACCAAATGAGGGGATCTGCTGGCCAGAAGGGGGGTAGCTTGATGGACAATGCTCCAATATGTGGCTTATCCTCTGGCATGTCTGATTGATCAACAGTTTTGGATGATTCACCCTTTTCCGTGCTCATGATGCTGGCGAAAATTGCAAGGTGGTGCGAGAGAAAACCAGTTGTTGGGCTTAGGTTAAAATGTCACCAAATATTGAAAGTGTAGCTCTTTGATGTCAGGGTCACCAAATGTAGTGGTTTGCTACATAAATAAGAACGCAACAACTCACCCTATAGTTCGTCTTTTGGACACCGATGACGAAGTCGAAGGACTCCAGGTAATACGCGAGTGTATAGCAATCCAATGGGGGCGAGCACACGCGGAGTCCGTGGGGGCGAGTTGGTCCGCGAAAGTGCTTCTCGATTTCGCAAGAAAAAGTCTCCCTCAAACGAGGTGAGTTCGCTCAAGCATCGTCAACTGCACGATCCAAAATAAAGTACAATAAAAACTGGATACAACTGTACAAATGCTGATACTTTCAGCTAGTTCCGAGCTGGAATAAATCACGGAGAAAGTTCCGATAACTGTGAATGACTTTCACCACGCGATGACACGAGAACAAAAGATGGCTGACCGAGCACGCTCATTAGCATAAGGTCAAAGTTGAAAAGGGCACCAAATATTCATTATATTATTGCATGTACATGTATTGCGCCATACGCGGCAATCATCCATGTAGGACCGACTTTGTGGTATTGAATGAGCGGTGCTTCCCTGCATTTGTTTTTGTTTTCACTTTTACCCACCGCCCTAAATAATATTAACAGGGTCCTGATTGCGATAAGTGTTGCAATTGCACTCAGTGTGGCATTTGCACTCTCTGAAGAGATTCCTTCATAGAGTGCAAAACATAATGACATTGAAAAGTCACCGGTGAGAGTAATTAGAGCCCAAAGTAGAGGATGAAATAAATCAGATAGGACGCCAACATGTTATGACAACAAACTTGCAGAGTTTACCGGACAAAATTGGGTCCGGGAAAATCGGATTCCTGGTGTTTAATTCTGTTCAAATCCAATCTTACTTTCATGAGTGAATGCTTTTAAATACAGCTGCATTGTCACATTACGGGGTGCAGTTAAGATTGTCTTCCACACTATCAGCAATGTGGACCTACATGTAAATTAAACAAAATCCTCGATCGGTCGTCGGACACAATGGTCGGACATAATCGGCCGTCGGACACAATGGTTCGGACATAATCGGCCTTCGGACACAATGGGTCGGACATAATCGACCGTTTGGACAAAGTGGGTCGGACATAATCGGCCGTCGGACACAGTGGGTCGGACATAATCGGCCGTCAGACACAATGGGTCGGACATAATCGGCCGTCGGACACAATGGGTCGGACATAATCGGCCGTCGGACACCGTGGTCGGACATAATCGGCCGTCGGACACAATGGGTTGGACATTATCGGCCGTCGGACATAACCTCATTATGTTAGTATGCATTGAACATCCAGGTCCTTATTAAACCTCGCGATTGTAGATGGAATGTTTTGGAAAAGGCTTCGCCACTCGAAAGTGTGGTCAGATTCGCTGATCTAAGCCTCTGTGGCCTTGGTAAAAAGCTACCAAACAGTGAAGCCGCTGAACGTTGATGTCGTACAGTGGAGGATCAAAGGAGTCGACTTAAACAATGGTATAGACTGGTTCCTCGTCCCTCCATTGTCCTTCGGATCTTTAATGTGGGCACAGGTAGCTGTCAGTGAGTTCCGAATGCATTAGGAAGTTTTCTTCCTATAATGTATGGGAATTAGGTTTAAGCCTTACGTGTGATTCCCTACCCCTGAATTCAAAATCACAATGATGATGTTTGCACGGAACCAGCCTTTTGCAAATGACACCAGGTTTAGTATACTAATGGTACAATTTTTGTGGTGATAAGTTTCGATTTTCGCTGAATTTGAATGTGTCTATGGCAACTATTAATACAGAGAGGGGAACTACTTTTCAGTAGACCTATTTGAAACCTATGATGCAGTTAAAACGCAGTTAAAAAGTTGCCTTTGTGGAGACACTGGCGATCTTGCCTACTGGTTCTGATAAGAGGGCGTTTTTTTACAACTGTATTTTCTGATGTCATCCATGCACAAGCGGCGAAACTACGGGGGCAGGGGGGGGGGAGGGATCCGTTTGGGGCGCACGCACCCATTATCGTCGCCCCAGAAGCCCTCCCCCTCCGCTAGAAATTTGGCGACCTGAAAATTAGTCACAGTCCTATAAGTTGACATGCAGATCGGGTTTAACATAAGGTGCCTTGTTTTCACGTTTATGATTATTAATCACAAAAACCTTTGTTTTTGCGATTTGCTGTAACTTTCCAGTGGAAATCGACTAGCGCCACCTATTGTCTGACATTTTACCACAATGTCGGATTTAAACAGCGTGAAGATGGTGTCTAACCCCCCCCCCCCTTTTGATTTTACGGGGCCGGGTGTCCGGTGAAAAAAAGAAACCTGTGTAAATGATGGGACCCTTGGCTGTGCTGCTGCCATAATCTACACGAAGCTGTGAATATCATTTCAAAAATGCTTCGAATGCGCAGAGGTGATCCAATAAATGACTGTTAATGCTAGCTAGCTACCAGTCCCCATACTTGGGGGGGGGGCAGTCTAGAAACGCCAGCTGCGAACATTTAGTAGTCTTGGTTTCAAGACGTCCTCATCAGCGGTACGATGTTTCAGAAACGACGTGTTGCCAGTCCAAATTTGATTGCAAAACTTATAAAAAATACATGTTTAGCAAAGTCTTGTTATCAAGTTAAAGTCATCGTCTGTACCAATTCCTACTTTATTTTACCACCAGAGGGCGACCTGCAATACTGACACATTTCTCGTATCCAATTCTGTCGCTTTTGGTTCTGTTTGCTAACTGTGTGTATATAATTGAAAGACAGTATCATAATCACCGAGCCAAGTGTACACATCGGATCGACGCTCCGTTATGTTGCATCTGTACCGCCTATAAGGTATATTTATGCATGGAGTCTATGAGCAAATTACAAATTTAGGCTTCACCGCCATTCAATGCCATCTGACTCGTTCGGCGTATCATATCAACATCGAAGGCACAATATCTTAATTGGAATATCTGTAATATTTCTGCCCTCTCGCTGCGCGTATCGCTTTCTAAAGGTTCATTGTATACACGGTTGTGTAATTATCTAGACCGCCCTTGATTGATGCTGAGGATTCTGTGTTTATTACCGGAAGCCGCTTCCAGTCGTACGCGGTGCCGCACCGTTTCATATCAATTCGTTACTGCTTATGACCACGATGGTCTTTATTGTTCAATTTCAAGACGACATTTTGTTAATTTCAAGACGCTATTTTGTTAAAACTGAAAATTGTAATTACATCGTGATACCCATTGGCTGTTACGTTACCCGCTTCTTGCGTTTTAGCTTCGCCCATACAGTAACATTCAACAAGTCTGCCTTCGTGGTGAGTACAGGCCTGTTTCTGATTGGCTCGACTTGCTGTTACGTCAGCCTGTTCGTGGTCTGCGGCTGCTTAGCTGCTGAGGCAAGCTAGTGACATTTCTGTATCCAATAAATGGCTTTAAATGCTGTTTAGCTACCGGTTCCAATATTTCCTCAGCGGGTCGATGTTTCAGCGTGATATGTACAGGCGGAGTTTTACAGAAGCAGGCGCTCTTTACACACGCATACATATTCACGCTAACAGGCCGTTCGTGCGTGTAAAATGATAAATAAAAGCAAATATCGAATGTACAAGCATTACATTCACAAAAAAAGTCCTCATAAACCAGTTTTTCAAATACGCTGTGAGGACTTGCCCACGTCAACAAGGTTTTCCCACTCTAGAAAACAGGTTTAGAGGCAATTCTGGGTTAGGTTTATGTGTCCCAAAAATGAAAAGAAACACTACAGGGAATCTTAGTTTAAAAAAAAATGGGTTGAAAGAGTTCTGACAGTGTGAGTATAAGGAGTTATTTTCACATTTTTTTAAACTATACAAAAACAAAGGAATGTCCACGCTATATAACGTAAACTTGGGGGCAAGTTCGCGCAAGAAGTATTGTTGACCGTTGGTTAACAATAGTTCGACTGAAGTTAGCCCATACTCTGTCTAGTCGACGGTGGTTGACTACGCTAGTCGACTATTTGGAACCAGCCTACTGGTGCTGGTTGCATCGCTGGTAACCAATAGCTGCGCCCATTGATAACGTGCAGCGGGAGCCAGGGGCCAGAAGTTTTGCGATGACATTTTGACCAGCGTTTGACTAGAGAGGTTCACACGCTGCTGTTAGTGCGCAGGCGTAAGGTACGTCACAAATCAACCACTAGTCGACTAATGGTCATTGCCCGTACTTGGCCACGGGTGCACTTGTTTTAAGTGTTTATTTGCTCAGCTGATGTACTTTGCGTTAAGATGAAATGAACGGAACGACCTGCTACCAGTCGAAATTCGACTGCAAAAATTATAAAATACGTAAGACGTGAACAAATACACATTTTGTTCTTTCCGAATGTTAAGCAAAGTCTCGTAATCAAGTTAACTTTATTTTACCAACAGAGAGCGCCTCCAGCAACACGTACACATTCCTCGTATCAAATAACCCATCCCTTCAATTCTTTCGTTTCTGGTTTTGTTTACTAGCTGTTTGTATATAATTTAAAGACAATAATACCCCGAGAAAAGGAGCTTAAAGGTAGCAGTCTCAGTATCATAATCAAAGAGCCAATTAGTGTACACATTGGATCGACGCTCTGTTATGTTGCATCTGTACCACTTAGGGTGTAATTATGCATGGAGTCTATGGGCAAATGACTCGTTAAAATTAGGCTTCCCTACAATTTTGACGAAGAGGTTTGATTTAATATTTCGTATTTCAATGTCTTTTGACTCGTTCGACGTATCCTATCAACACTGCCTTGAACATCAAAGGCAGAATCTCTTAATTGCAATTTCTGTAATTTTTCTGCCCTCCCGCTGCGTATCGCTTTCTAAAGGTTCGCT